TCGCCCGTGTGTGTATCGATAGTACTGTTCTGTTGCCGAGAGATGAAGAGAGGTTTAAGTCAGTATGCCGTGAATATAATTCAGGAAGATTCATTGACCAATTGAGCTTATGGGTGGAGATTGAGTGATCGGGCTTGGCAAAAAAAGGTAGTGAATTCTTGATGATGATGTGGGATGGAGTTGCGATTGGCTCGGTTCAATTGGGCCTATGGTTTCTCTTGCTTCCTTTCTGGGAGAGCAGATAGAAGATCTCTGATTTATTGATATGGACTCCTAGCAGGAGACTTGAGGGAAATACGGGGATATGATTTTGTTTAGACGTTGCTTCGCTTAGTAGGGAGTTTTGCCTTCATGATAAGGATGGAATCATAAGATGCTGAGGTTAGATTGATGGTGGAGGAGTTACTTTGATGGATTTACATGGAAAAGAGCGTTGAAGTATGAGAGCGAGGCATAATAAATTCAGGACTTTTGGGGGAAGAACATGCGATTCTCCTGATACGCAGTATCCTGTTAGAGGGAATCATTGTTGTTTGGTACTAAGAGATGCTCGTTGCAAAGAAATTGCTGCTGAGAGAGTCATCTACTTTCACCTTTACTGTTCTTGTGTCTTAGTTGTATGTTTGAAAGCTGTGATGATGATTAATTTGCCAATTAGTTGGAGTGTTGGTCCGTAAATCAGATTTCCATTGTTTCACTTGTGATGAACCAACCGAATTTTATGACTCTCTCTGTCGATTATGGTTCTTGAGCTGTTGCTTGATGCAATTAATCTCTCAAGCTTGAGGCTTCCGGAACTCTTTTTTAACTTGCCTGGTAGATCAACTTGATATCCTTTTCGTATTCCACCCTTCAAGTGAGACATTCTGCCTGAATCCTGGAATTTAATTGATAATTATCATCTATAGACTACCATGCTCTTAGTCTTAGCAGCAGATCCAATTTTCTAGCAGGGAAGATTGTAGTTGTATTTTGTACCAAATACGTGGGGACTGTTTTTAAGAGAAATGGGCAGTTTAGAAAGATAAGGACATTCTAATGAATTGATAAGTGTGTAGGTTGATATCTTTGGCATATGCCACACGTTTTGGAGGTTTCATTTCTATAGTTTGCAAAAGTTTTCAAACTTATTCTCAAAGAAGATTGTTTTAACTGCGCATAATGGAGATTTTCTCATGCAAAATACTTTGTTGTTATATTTTCAGAAACAAGATCAAGATAGTGGCTGATGGTGCAGTGCCCCCTCTTGTAGAGCTCCTTAAGATACATAATGGCAACCTAAGGGAACTAGCTACAGCAGCTATTTTAACACTCTCCACCGCCACACCAAACAAGCCAACCATTTTGGCTTCTGGAGCTGCACCTCTTCTAGTTCAAATTCTCAGCTCTGGAAGTGTCCAAGGAAGAGTTGATGCAGTTACTGCCTTGCATAATCTCTTCACCTGCAAAGAAAGTGCCACAGCATGTCTTGATGCCGCAGCAGTTCCAGCTCTAATTAATCTTCTCAAGGACTGTAAGAAGCATTCCAAGTTTGCTGAGAAAGCTAGTGCTTTGCTTGAAATACTTTCAAAGTCTGATGAAGGTAGAACGGCCATTGCAAACTCAAATGGTGGGATTTTAACCTTAGTGGAAACAATTGAAGAGGGTTCTCCAATTAGCATGGAGCATGCGGTGGGGGCTTTACTTACGTTATGCCAGAGCTGCCGAAGTACGTACAGAATGCTTATTCTGAACGAGGGTGCAATTCCGGGGCTTTTAAAGTTGACCGTTGAAGGTACTCCGGAAGCTCAAGAGAGATCCCGCGAACTTTTGGATCTGCTGCGGGAGTCGCCACAAGACAAGAGATTAGCCTCCTCTGTTTTGGAGAAAATTGTCTATGACATTGCTACTAGGGTCGATGGAGCTGATAAAGCCCCTGAAACAGCCAAAAAGTTGCTACAAGATATGGTTCAAAGGAGCATCGAAATCAAAACAAGCCGAATCTTGCCCAAGGGTGCGTCTTGTACCACGGAAGCTTCCTCTGTGAGATGTTCTGAACTCGAGCAACATTCTTCAGTGAGTAAGTCATGAGTATCTTGGGCTGTGAATGCATCCATCAATGGGAGCTGTTCTATCCATTATAAGAGCAGAAGCATGGAATTCAAGGAACCGGACAACACCCTCTCTGGTTTGCTCTCGTGAATCACACAGATCATCTGATCTCCGTGCTCTTCGCTGTATATCTGTGAATCTGCTCTTGTATATATAAGAACCTCCCTGTTTTATGTCGTGGGGTCTTATGCTAGACGGCTATTGTAGTATAGGAAGTTTTCGAGTGACAACGGGTGATTGTTGGACAAAACTGTCCAAGTCCCTTGGTGGAAGCTTGACATGTATGAATAGCTAACCTACTTCCTTTCAAGATGTTAACCTAGACAAAATGAAATTGAAAAGATGTAATTTCTTCTGCATAAGTTGGGAGTATGTTCTGGTCCAGAATTGGTCGGACAACGATACCGGCGTCATATGTTACCTGTTGACTGTTCTTAATTTTCAGATTGACTGGTAAAGTATTTGTTCCTAGACAGCTAGTAAATGACTGGCTTTGTACTCTCTTTAGAGTTATAATTACATAAAGAATGATGGCAGAGATAGAAAGACCAGTTTACGACGGGGATGTGATAAGCTCTTGTTGGTGCCTGAATATAGCCATCTGTTTGAATACTCGCACATCAATTTGTTTAATCGATTTTGTGAATCAATCTTGGTATTTTTAGCATTAGTCTTGCCAGTAATTACGTACAATTGGTCTTATTGATTAAAGTACGAAACTTGACCTATTAGTGCTTCAACTGTACATGATAGCAGCAATGCATGTTCAACCAAAGCAAAGAAGAGCAGCAGCCCAGGTTCCTTACGGTCCATCAATATCATACGCTGGTGCATTTTGTACTCCTAAATGCAGTGTCGTGCTACAAAAGTAATTCAAGGATTTTCATTTTATCAATAAGATATGTTCTTTTGCGATCTAAGGATAAACCCATTGATTCTCGGTGATATGTAAAAAATACCCTTACATGGCCATTCTACTTGGTGTGGACTTAGTACCTACAGTAAGTGATTTGAGTACATAACCCGTGGAGATGCAAATTGAATGATGAGCCATTTTTATAATCTAGCATCCAGTTTCTGTTGGGGTGTGGTCTGGGGGCCGCCTCAGCGGAGTCATAGGGGGCAGTGCCCGTGCGACGCCATGGGGCTTTTATAGCCTGGACCCATATTTTGTTGGTAGTTTGGGCTTGAGCCTATGAATAGTTACTAAGTATATATATAATTTCTTTCTCTTATAATTAAGAGTTGTAATAGAGAGGTGGTATGTGCTAATTATAGTGAAATCCTTTTCTAGATATAGCTCTAGTTTAAGGGTAAACCAGGATAAATCCTTGTGTCTCGATTTTCTCGCCTTTACTCTCTATTTTATTGTATTTGTGCGATTAATCCTAACAGTTTCGACGGTCGAATCCTTTTTCACCCAATTGATGATGCTATCCTTGCCTTCCTTCTATTGTGGCAAAAGGTCCTTTATAAGTTTCCAGTGATATGGAGGACCTGGAGATGAGATTGCCATTGCACTTTTGAGCCACATCAACCAGGGATAAAGAAGAAAGAATAACAGCGCTACGCAGCCTCCCAGCTCTCGCACTGGGAATCGTCGGAGGGGATTCTCAAGAGACGTGTCGTGATGATCTTAGCCAATCGGGTCTATCATGTCGTTTGGTAGTCAATGACAATCACCCGCAATATCATGCTTCGGGAGTTGTAAGAACAAGCTGCTCACCCGTGCAAAGACTTCACGTTGACAGGTCGCCGCACATTCATAATATTTACAAGATTTTCGACACTCATTTTTTTTTAACTCAAAATATAAATAATACCCAACACACCAATAGCGTAAAACGAGGTTAAACAATTGCCATTATAGCAAGTGGAAATGATAAGATAGCAATGAATTGAGATGAAAACCCTAGCTATGTCCAGACGGCAAGATAGCAACTAATTGATATGAAAACCGTAGCAAGCTATGTCCAAATAGCATGGGCAGGGGCCACTTCTTAAATGGCAAAAGCTTGAGGAAAACATGTGGAGGAAACCAAATTCGAACGAAACCACGCAAATGGTCCGTAAACTTTTAATGTGTTCAATGTGATCCTTGAACTTTTGATACATATTCAATCTACTCCTAAACTATAAGAAAGTGTTTAATTTTGTCCCTGAACTTAAATTAATGGAAAGATAACATCGAACATATTCACATAGTCTAGAGACTAAATTGAACAAACGCAAAAAAATATAATGACCACATTGAATAAATTAAAAGTTCATGGACGGCATCACACATCGAGCTAAAGTTCACACATCATATTAAATAAATCAAAAGTTAAGGGACCGCACCGTGTATTAGACCAAAGTTCTCGAATAATTTGTGTGTCGTTGTCTTGGTAAATCCAAACGGAGCACAACACGACTTAACTTCAACCGGGGCAAGCTCGACGTGGGATTTGATAGGATCTCTGTCCCCTTAGTACTCCCTTTAATTACACGTTTGCCACTGGCCCCTGTCGGTGCGCTCGTTAATGGCCGAAAAAGTTGAAACCCCACCCCCGTCGTCAGCCCCACCGCCTCGAAGACGACAAAGCATCGCGCACCGCAAACGGAGCGCGACCCCGAAACACCGCCGAGGAGCGTCGGATCTCCTCCGTCCACGTCAACGTGTCGGCATCCGAAGGGCCCCCCGGGGGGATCAACCCTCGTGGAAGCGAGCGAGGCGGAGCATTCGGGCTCTCGCTCCTAAAACCAAGAAAGCTTCGTGCTTTCTTGAATTGATTATATACTTTAAACCATTTCGCCAGTTCGTTTTCTTGACTTCTGCCCACCGGGAACACGATCTCCCACGGACCCTTCACACCGCCAAGACACCCAGCTCACACCCCACTTGCACGCACTCTCACAGAGAGAGAGAGAGAGAGAGAGAGAGGGGGAGGGAGGGGGAGGATGAGTTTCGTTGTGGGTTGTGCTTGATCTCTCACGCATCCGAGTTCTTTAGGTAAGCATTGACCCCCGCTTCCGCAACGAGCTCCTTCTCTGTACTTTCTTGTTTGTTTTCCAGATCTTGAGCTGGTTTCGCGGGTGCTATTTGGGGAGACCCTTCGTTTTCTTGTCATTCCCACGTTGATTCCCACGTTTGTGACCCTTGTTCGGGTCTCGTTTGCGCCGGGTTGTCTGGTTGGTTCGTTCGTTCGATTTGGCGTGTTTCGGTCATTTGGGTTAGTCTTGGATTTGGATCTTGCTGGGTGTTGAGGTGGGGTTAGTTTGGTTTCTTGATTTGGGAGAAAAATGTTGGGTCGGTCCCCGCTGCTGCGAGCCGGCGGCTTCCGGCCGGATAATCTGGGCCAGCACGCGATGGCGATGATAGGCAACCTCTGCTTCACGCTGTTCGTGATTGGGGTTCTGGTTTTCACCATAATCGCCGCGACTTACGAGCCCGAAGATCCCCTCTTCCATCCGTCGACCAAGATCACCACGTTCCTCACGTCCACCACTAATGCCACTTTCATGTCCGATGACACGGTGGTCAAGACCGGCGAGGATTTCATGCCCGCGAATCAGACGGTGTTTGATAATTTCATCAATGTGACTGACGTCGAGAACCCGGTGACCGGTTCGGCTGAGATCACGGGTGGGAATGAGTGTGAGGGGAGTGTCGGCCAGCCGATCGATTGCAGGGACCCCGAAGTTTTCCACCTAATGATGAAGGCCACGATAGAGCAGTTTAAGGATATACACTTTTACAGGTTCGGGAAGCCTGTTGCGGGATCCAACGAGAGCACCTGCGATATGGCGTGGCGGTTTAGGCCAAAGGAAGGGAAGGCGGCTGCATTTTATAAGGATTACAGGAGGTTTGTGATTTCCAGGTCGGAGAATTGTACGCTTAGTGTTGTGAGCATTGGGGATTACCATACGGGTGTCAATGCTAGGAAGAGGAAGAAGAATCAGAAACCCGGGTTTGAGAAGCAACCGGCAAAGAAAGAGGAGCAGACTATATCTTTGCCCGTTGTTGGGGAAACGGTGAATGACGCACTTCCGGTGGTTGAGTCCGAGGGGTCGTTCAGTCGCGGGAAGTACTTGATCTACATGGGCGGTGGAGATAGATGCAAGAGCATGAATCATTATCTCTGGAGCTTCTTGTGCGCCTTGGGCGAGGCCCAGTACTTGAACAGGACTTTGGTCATGGATTTGAGTATTTGCTTGTCTAAAATTTACACGTCGTCGAATCAAGACGAAGAAGGAAAAGATTTTAGGTTCTACTTTGACTTCGAGCACTTGAAGGACTCTGCATCAGTGTTGGACCAGGACCAGTTCTGGGCGGATTGGGGCAAATGGCACAAGAAAGACAAATTGAACCTTCACCTTGTGGAGGACTTCAGGGTCACTCCTATGAAGCTAACAGACGTGCAAGATGCCTTGATAATGAGAAAGTTTGGGTCGGTGGAACCCGATAACTACTGGTATAGGGTGTGTGAAGGCGAGACTGAATCTGTCATTAAGCGTCCATGGCATCTAATGTGGAAATCGAGACGGGTGATGGATATTGTGTCATCAATTGCGGCAAAGTTGAATTGGGATTACGACTCAGTCCATATCGAGAGAGGGGAGAAGGCAAAGAACAAAGACCTGTGGCCGAATCTCGCGGCCGATACCTCTCCTGATGCACTTATCTCAACATTGAAGGACAAAGTTGAAGATGGGAGGAACCTTTACATTGCAACTAATGAACCCGACAACTCCTTCTTCAATCCATTGAAAGACAAGTACTCGACTCATTTCCTGGACGAGTACAAGGAACTCTGGGATGAGAAGAGCGAGTGGTATTCCGAGACCACAAAGCTGAATAAGGGTGTCCCCGTCGAGTTCGACGGATACATGAGGGTTTCAGTTGACACTGAAGTTTTCTTGAGGGGTAAAAAGCAGATCGAGACCTTTAACGACCTCACAAACGACTGCAAGGACGGTATTAATACTTGCAGCACTTCTGCCAGTTGATAACCATTGCACTGAAGTTCAAAAGCTTCATGATGTCTCCAGATTGCTGATTTGTGGTATGTTTCACCTGTACTTTTAGCTGTTGTTGGCGAACCCGTGTAAAACTTACGCTTTACTCTTTTAGGCTTGGCACGGAGTTACATTTTTATCAGTCTTGTACGAGTAGAAAAGCATTGTTCTAATAACGTTCTGTTCTTTTGACTGTTGTTACATCTCTGGCAATCGCTTTTGCAACTCGATCTCCTTATTCAGTTGGCGGATTGATCCGGTTCTGCGCAATGCAAATGACCTAGAGGATTGACGATAAATAAAATGATATTGGTGAAGCTTTCTCTTTCCACTTGGGTGGTTGGACCTTTCCCTGAGAAGCCAAGAGCGTACAGTGCATTGCTTGGTGTGAGTTGGATAGAAGTGCATGGCATCTGACATGGAGAGCTTCTTTGCTTCTTGCATCTTTTCTCCATCAACTTGTCACGCAACTTCTTTTTCCTCTTTGGCTGGGATTAAAACTTCTTAGTTGTGACATGCTCGACTCACGGAAGGATAGTTTACTAGGCAGTATCCGCCAATAGAGTTTCGACGTCATTTAGATCGCAGTGTTCCCGTGCCATTTTTAATTCCCTCTCGTCGACTGAAACTAGACAAGCGAATCGGTCAATTGCGGTAGGAGAGGGTTGAAGTGGAATTCGATCTTGACCACTGGGATGCAAGGAAAACCAAAAACATAGCATTTGAATCTCACATCTTTGTTGCACCTTGAACGGGTGTGTGCACATTATAAAAAAAAAAATAAGGTGAATGTTAAAATTTCTCTTATGGAGAATAGAAGCATCTGGGTTAGATTCCATGAATCATAGACGATCACATTATTGATTCAGCTAATGTTCGACCCTTCTGCCATCAACGACGAGCACGACTGAATATCTATGAAAAATAAGGTGAATGTTAAAATTTCTCTTATGGAGAATAGAAGCATCTGGTTAGATCTCCATGAATCATAGACGATCACATTCGATCCTTCATGAAAAGAAACATGTCGACATTATTGATTCAGCTAGTTCGGACCCTTCTCGCCATCAACGACGACGGCGCACGACTGAATATCTATGAAAAAATAAGGTGAATGTTAAAATTTCTCATATGGAGAATAGAAGCATCTGGGTTAGATCTCCATGAATCATAGACGATCACATTCGATCCTTCATGAAAAGAAACATGTCGACAGCATCGACCATGGGATGACATTAAGAACAATATATCATTGTTGGCACCATATACACTGTTACCGGCACCATGTTTTCTTTAATGATTTCAACTGGTTTCTTTGTCGGCTTTGTCCATCATATGCACATGAGCATCGAGACCATGCATGTTCTCTTTTTCTCCCTGTTTGTCCTGTGTCCCATAGACATTGATGAGGATAAAAGTCATTACCTAGACAAAGAGCGACAAAAACCCTCCAAAGATGCTTCCAAATCTCACACCCACATGCCCTCAATGTGGTTTGCTAAGTCTGTCACGAAAATTTTGCTAAGATACAGCTGTTTCCAAATTCAAGAATCTAGACATATCCAATAGCCGGTTGAATCATCGAAGACCCAAGATATTTTTCAAGGAAAGGAAGATTTTTTGCCCCAACTCAACTTGGCAACTAGTAGATCCATACTTTGATGGTATGAGTTCCCTTTTTGTGTCGTTTTTATGTAGTTAGACTCCAATTGGCAATCGATTAGTCTTTCGCGAGACGTGATCACACATGTCGATGCTCCTTAGTTTGGTCCAAGTGAATGCGAAAGCACAGTGATGCCAGCTCGGCCTTGGCATGAGTGTCCACCCTCAACAATCTCCCATGAAGCAAATTACCCAAAATTTGAGAGAGTACCTCTTGAAAGTTGTCTTTTAACTGTTCTAACAAGAGCTCAGATGATTTCTTCAGTTCAAGCTCAGAACTGCTTTGTTCGGTTCACTTAAGAGACGCAAAGAATGTAACAAGAGAGTTGGAAAAAAAGATCACAATGCATAAAAAACACTAGCAACTTCTCAATATGTACAGCCACAACAGCACAAGCTCCTTTTGTGTTTTCAAAGATCTAACCACATTTTGCAGCACCCATCGCACACCAAAAGCCCCTGTTGATGCGAAAATACATGTACACACTATCGACTGTACATTGCGCAACACGACGGCCCCTTAAAAATCTCTCTCTCTCTCCCTCTCTCCCTCTCTCTATTGCTTCACCAGAAGCATGAGGAAGAAGCCTCCTCTTCCACCATCATAGGCTTCCGACAAAGTGGGCATGTGATCTTCCAATAGTCCAGCCACTTCTCCAAGCACAGCCTGTGGAAGATATGCCCACAGGACAGCTTGCTTATCTCCGACTCGGGCATGAACTCGGTCAGGCAGACGGAGCAGTCACGGTCCTCCCTCTTGTGCCCTCCGCACACGGCGTCGAACCGGATGGACGGGGCCTGGTTCCGGAACTGCTCGATGTAGCTCTCTGACGGGCATATCCTATACTCGAAGGACTCGGAGGCGCGGGCGTCGACAGAGTCCGGCAACGACGGCGAGAGGCAGGAGAGACGGAGCCCGACGAGGTGGAGGATGGTGCGGACGAGGCCTTTGATGATGGAGATGGACAGGGCGGTGTTTACTATGAGAACACAGAGCATTCCCTCAGAAGGAGCTGGAAGACTTGAGAGACCCATGTCGATAAGGCTGTAGATTCCTCTCTTCTTTCTTTGAGGGTTATGAAAATGGAGCAGAGCACAAGTACTTGTCAGGTTGATCTTGATGCCTGATCAATCTGCTTAACATTGAATATGAATATTAGAAAACTAAGCAAACAAAGTAAGAAAGGAGATAATACTAAAAAATGGGTTATAGTTCTAATCAGCAACAATAGCCAAAGAATTGGACAAGCTACTCTTCAATATAACTGATTGCAAATCCAGCAAAAATGCGATCTATCAAAGATTATCCAGGAAAAAGGACTCGATTTTCGGCTTCAAGGGAAAGGGTCTTTAATCATCATGAAGACAAAACATTAAAAGGAAGACTCAGGACTCATAGAGCACAATCAAGCTGTGACAAACAATTTTTCATGACATGAAAACCTACCATCCTTCAAAAAACCTAAAATGGTAATTATCTGAAACGTACAGATACTAGATCACCAGAATCAACCAAAAAAAGGATGCTTTCAACAAATTTCTGCCTAAATAAGGATTCTTTAATCGGAGATGGATCTTCATTCATCTATTATTTCTTGTTGGAACTCCCTTTATATCATCACAGGACAAGCTTCATTCACAACACAACCCTGGTGTATGTGGGATTGGGGTTTCATGAAAATATGAAATTTCCACTGCTTAAAGATAGAAAAGATCCCAAACCATGAAATGCAATGAAGACCCGCCCATGTTTCTAAATCACTCCGGTCACAGAATGGGAAGAACCGATACCCAATACAGAAATCAATTCCTTTATCCACACAACAACAGCAGAATCACTCTTATAGCAGCCATGCCATCAAATAACAAGAGCAAGAAGAGATTACACGACAGGAAGACAAGACCCCCTCAAAGCACAAACCAAATCAAGAAGTCACCAAATTAGATGGAAACAGAGAGATTGGGAGCCACTTACAGAAACCAAGCAAAGCTCTGGATCAAGAAATGACACAAGGAAGAACAAGAAGAAGCAGAAGAGGAGATGACCACGAGATTCACACCAACAAGTAAGTGGGTGACGGCTCTGTCTCTCAAAGACTCTTCAAAGCACTAGCTCTCAGCTTTTTGTTCTCTCTTTTGGGATTGAAAGCTTTGGCTGCCTTCTGTCAAATCACGTCTCCTTTGCTCTTATTTATACAGCCAAAGCTCCAGACTTTCCCCATAAGTTAACCCCCCTTGAGCCTGACCATGGTTAGCCCCAGGGCCTTCCCCAGCTGACCATGGTTACTTTTCGCCACGAACTTTCCTCATCCTTCTTTTAACCTGCTAGGCTATCGAGAAGGAAAGAAAAGAAATGGGGAACTGGGAAAGGGGGACAAAAACCTGCGGGGCCATGGTCTGGTTTTCTTTTTCTTTTTCTGTGATTGATGATGATATGCAGTTTATGGCTTTTCTTTTGGTTAGGATATGCAGTTTATAGTTACATGGCTGCTTTTTTCTTTTTCTCTTCTTTGGGTGGTATCTCAGTTCTTAATTCTGAGTATCCTCATTTACCACATTTTTCTTGTGAATGTCTCTGGATAAGAAAGCTGCCTTTTTGGCCCCCCCAAAAAGTGCGCACATCAGAATCATTGGGATGCGAAAACGAACAGGAGAATGGCATCATATGTGTCGTAACTTTCGTGCGGTACTTATTTAAATGTCGCAGTTTCCTTTTCTTTTCTTTTTTTTCGATTACTCGAGTGTCGTAATTCCCTAAGGCATTCGCTCAAACGAAATGCTCAAATGCGATTACCAAGTGGAAGTTGCATTGAGTTAAGAGACTTCAGAAATGCTAAACTTTTTGAATATCCTCAATTTTCGTATTATGTTAACGAATGCGCTAATTTTGGCATAAGGGCCCCACGACACGAAATCTATTTCAGCGGGAATGAATGTGAAAAATACTATTTCGAGATAGTAGGGTTAGATGTTTCTCTATTATGTACTTTCATGTTTAGTATATAATTTGTGAAATTTCTCCGCATTTATCTATGTAATTCCTCGAGTTGCTGGCGGAGGAAGAAGTTTGATTTTGGGTTACTATACCTATACATTTTTTACATTCTGAACAAATGAAAAACTTCGACCTAAAAAAAAAACAAAACAAATGAAAAACGACTTTGAAATGGACTTATAAGGAACACAATAAGAATGCTCGTGTTAAACGGGATAATAAACAATTGCATTCTATCACGTGCAAACAATTTCATATTTGAGTTATCCATTTGGATTTGTGCTAGCACCATAATTGGTCAACGAAATATCACGAGATCAGCTCGGTAATTACCCAAACGATAAGGCGGCACTTTTTCTTTATTAGAAAAAATTCGCGAAAGCGGAAAATGGCTCAAAAAGATGAAAGGAAAATGTAGCTAGGGCAGATAATTTTTGTCCTTCATTGTGAGGAGACTGCAAGTGGGACTGAGCTATGTGATATCTAAAGGGTCGTGGAAAATTTGTTCCATGCATCCGAATCACGTGAAATTACTTCATCTCGATCACCAAATTTCGAACTTTACATAAATATTACGTAATTTAATAGCCGATATAAAGTGAGCTCTCATGCATCGGATGCATGTGATATTATATCGGGACATGGCCCTTATCTTTGCTTGTACGTTTTACTTGTAAGTTTATTACAAGTGTCCATCTGCCTCTCGGATTAGTTGTCGAATGCTGAGATGCGTCCCGTATGAGAGAATTGAGGCGTCCCAAGCGCAACGTGTCGCACCCTCCCCGCTCGCCCATTTCAGTGTTGTCCCCGTTGGACACATGTAGTGCTCACGAGCGTAGAGTGTTTTGCTCAATCATTGTCGAGTTCCCAATGTCTAATTTGCCAGAAATGGGTCGCTGGTGACTTGCTTTTGAGCCTAAAATTGCTATAAGGAAAGAGCGAGAGAGAAAACAGACTATGTTGTTAAGTGAAATGTCCTAAAGCTGTTGTTGATGAGAAACAATTAGGGGCTTAAATCGTTTTCTCGAGCCGGGTTAGCTGGACAAACCTTAGTACGAATGGCCTTACGAATTTCGGGACGTGACAATTACTTGGCTCGAGGTAGAGATTTAGTCGTGTGGACCCTGATATGATTGGGGAAGGGACAGAGAGGAGATGGAACCGGAACTTAATTATTGATTCAGGACATAAGGATATTTTAAGCGAGTGTCTCGGAAGTAATCCTTTCAAACCAAATCGCATGTTTACGGATCGACTTTTCAGAGATATTTCAAAACACCCGTCAACAAATATCCGGCGCGAAAATTAGGGGTCGCGTGCTTTCTTTGGCCAGGAAGGTATTAACCCTGTCAAGAACATGAATCGTGGTCCTGAATTGGGCATGACCATTGGGATGATGTTGTTTTGCAACTTGCAAGGTGTCAACTTGAAATTGGGGGTTGAGCGGTCAAAGCCATGACATGTGTTATCCCCAAGCGTGATCTTTTTTTATGGTTTTTGGTCTGTTGGAGTAGGAATTAGCAAAGAATAGTCATGCAAGACATAGAAATCCCATGTGTGTTGTCCTTTTCTCATCGGTATGGAGTTCCTTTTCCCTCGGAGTTTCGCACATCCATCACATCCGTTTTTGCCAAATCAATAAAAAAACCAAAGAAGATGAGGAGGACATGAATTGAAGATAAAAGTCTCTCTCTCTCTCTCTCTCTCTCTCTCTCTCTCTCTCTCTCTCTCCATTTTGCTCAATTGAATGGACCTGGGGAGCCACCTCTTAGGAAGAAATTGTCCTTTGGGGGGGTAAGATTGGTGGTGGGAAAAATTATTGCCTACACTTGAACAAGCAAGTTGATGCATGGAATGATTGATGAGGCTCCAAAGAAAGGGAATCGATGTCGACAGATGATGAAATAGTGTCTACATTGACCCGACCCGATTTATGTGGGCGAAACCTTTGAAAGTAGCACTCAAGTAGCGATCGTTTGGAATGAATCGCGCTTTACTTGTTACTCAACAAACCATCGGATTCTCCCCCTCCCCCCAACAAGCCCTTTTTGATCTATTTTGCAAGGATGCCCTTTTGATGGGCTCTACTACTTTACTTGAGAAGATAAATAAAAGTATATTTCGACCAAAAAATAAAGTTGTCGTTTATTCCGTGGGGAACTTAAAAGTGTCGCGCTATCCGCACTTATAGTTCAACAAATCAAATCAAATTTTGATGTGTCCAGCCACAAAGTTAGGAATATATCACAATTTGCACTGATCAATAGCTTAAGAGGATTGTGACATCATATTAGGATGCTTATCTCTCTTTCATTTGTTAGCTCACCTCGTAATCATAGTTTGGTGGACCTAATTTCAGTGACACCACCGGCGTTTATCCCCTCAAACTCCGGCTTTGTGGAAATAGAAAAGTGGTGGGCTGGGTTTTTAGATTCATACCAGGCGACCTATACAAGATAGAGGCAAGTTATGGGTTCAACTCCTTGAGGAAAATATTTACGGAGATCCAATTTTGGAACCATGAGGTTAACGCATCGGCATCTCGGTTATGGAAGGCAATCATGGACACTAGAGAAATACTCAAACTTGGCACTCTTTATCAGTAGGAGATGGTAAGTCAATTGAGGTTGGTAATCACCTTTGGAGTCCACACGTACCAAACCATCTCCCTTCTTTTATTGATCCCGATCCTATATTAAAGCAAAGGAAAGTAGCGAGCTTCTTTATCCCAAGGACAAAATCTTGGGATGTAAACAGTCTAACTCGAATTTTTGCCCAACCTCGGTCCAAGAAATTCTACTAGATTCAAGTTCCATCCTCCATTTGGATGGATAAACCGATTAGCGGGCAGCCTATTGATGGAATTTTTACTGTTAAATCCGCTTATAAGCTCATCAAAGAGCCCTACGAAATGGCTCTAACTCTGAATCCGACCAAAATTTGGAAAGCTTAGAGTTCATGAGAGGCACAAGATGATGTTCAGGAGGACAACGGCCAATGTCTTGCCCCCCGTAGCTAACCCGGGTAGGTTATTTCACATTCAGACTTTTCATGCCCGTTGTGTGGAAATTCAAAAGCAAACTCATGTCCAGCCCATCTATTCACAAAGCATGCCCTTTGGCCCGCATTTTATGGAGACGTTTTGCCCATGGGTATCATCTCATCTGTTTGGAACTTCACATCACCAAAGGAAATGATAAACCACTTCCTTGACCCAGACGAATTACGAGAGATAATGGGATTCGATTGCAACTCTTCACTCTCTATGCAAACATGATTCTATGTACCCAGAATGTGGTTTTATAGGAATCATTTTACATGATCAAGCTATTCCAAATCCTTCCCAGCAATTAAGTTGGTTTTGCAGAGTGACTATGGAATTCTCGAACAAGTCTGAGGAAGAACACAGTCGTACCAAGTCCGAGCCGATTCGATTGGAGTAGGAATAGACACTTGGCTCCCACCGATCAGAGATCAAGAGCTCAAATTTAAGAGATGGTGCGCTGAAAGAAATATTGTACTAGTAGAGTCTTTTTTTATATTTCGCTCTAATGTAGGTAATGCTCCCTTTTTGTAATTGCTTTGTTTGCAATATAAAGTTTAATTTCTAGCAAAGTTAGGAATATATCACAATTTGCACTAATCAATAGCTTAAGAGGATTGTGACATCATATTAAGATGCTTATCTCTCTTTCATTTGTTAGCTCACCTCGTAATCATAGTTTGGTGGACTTAGTCCTAAACCTTTGCGCGAAATTCTGATTAGACAATTTTCCCATTTATCCAACTATACGTTCTAAAAGATTATAGTACATCGCCTTATGATTGCATCATTAATCCTATCAAAACATAAATTGGGATGAGTGAATGGAAGGTTCGACTCGAACCTTCCAGTCACAAGGTCTATTTGGACTCTACCGAACTTATAATTAATCTCAGCCCATCATATTTACACTGATTTCAAAAAAGGATTTTGTTAACGAATGCTTCAAGAGCACCTGTTAAGACCATTGAATATAGAAATAACGCATATCAACATACAGTTCGAAAATTTATTGCTAGACAACACGTTTTGGGAGTCGTATATCAATAAACAGAAATATTTGTATCTCCAAAGCACGGTTATTGAAATTTAACAAGCATGATAGGGGCAATCTTTTTGACATTGTCCTTTACAAAA